AACCCGCTTGTTATAGCTTTAATTATAGCTCGTGAAAAGAGTCCTTTGAAGCAAAGGGGTGTCACCCCAACGAAGTGAAACGCACTTTATTGGCAACCAAACACTGATGTCTAACACCACCAAAAACAATAGTACAGGGACCCCTGGGATAAAGGGCCGGTCAAAGTCATCTTACAACCTGTTTAGGGTTCCCTCAAAAATATCCGCGTTTCCCTCGCACCATTGCAGTGAAGGTGAGCCCAGGGGTTCTGAATATCCAAGTTGGGATTGAACTTGCTCATCCGGGCGTGTGTTTTTTTCGGGGACCCTCCGAAATGGTGGCATTCCTTTAAAGGCCGCGAAAAAGACGCGGGGGCACCGACCCCTCCGCGCCTACGAGCCGGGACAGCGCCGGCCGGGGTGGCAGCTGGGCGGTCTGGGTGTCCCACTCCTGTCGACACATGAAGCACATGAAGCGCGCAATCGTGTATGCACCGCGGGTTTTTCCTCCAAGAGTGTGGTTTTCGATTGGTGGTTTGGCCCTCCAAGGGGCCCTCCAAGAGGTGGTTTGGATTGGTTTGGTGGTTAGGGTGTGGCCTTCGCCCACTATTAACCTTCGAGGTAACCTTTGGGCGCCGCAGCCACGTCCCCCACACCACCAATCAGGGGTTCCCTGCTGCACCCATAGGATCGATCTAGTTGCCGCTGTAGGTACCCAGGCAAAAAATACAAACGATACAATAAGAAGTAGAGTGTGCAGTGTACCTGAAAAAACCAGTGTATCAGCCTACATTATTTTAGAATCGTCCGAACTAGAGGGGCAAAGTATTTGAGCCTGCAGTTTCTTGCGCACTTCGCTGCGACAAGGTTTGGATTCCCGAGTGAAGGACCTACATCACGGTCAACTCATTTGGCCATGGGTCAAAATCCCGTCCCAGAGAACATCCCAATCCCCACTAAAATAGGCTCTGAAATGGGTGGTGAATCTACCCCAAAATGGGATCCCAGTGGCGTTGACCGTCACAGCCATTTTGCCTCCGATCGGTGTCACGGCTTGGGTCCGGCCACTGGCAGGAGCCTCAGGCTTCAGCCGGTCACAGTGCCGGTCCAGGAGGTCACGGCTGTCTGTCGAAAGACTGTGGATGGACGAAATCCATTTCGCACCACTTTGAAACTATGGGAAACCATTGTATATCGGTGAGAGCAGGACAATCATCATTCCGAGGTTTCTTAGGTGGTGCAGGATTTCGTCCATCCACAGTAGGCTCTGTGACAGCTGTCATGCGGTGAGCGGACGGGCAAGTGGACGGACAACGAGGGGTCGAATATCACTTAACATTCAAGAACTCCAAACCTGTCAAGTGGAGAAAAAGGAAGCAACCCGCTGGTCTGGGATTGATTGCTTCTCCCGCTCCTCGCCCCCCAGACGTGTGAGCCGCGACCTTGGCGGGAAGGAGTTTTTTTTGGACCCGTTTGCCAGGAAAGCTTTCTCGGTTAGTGAAAAATGAAGCAGGGGAAGTTCAGAAAACTATCTTGAGCATGCTTGCGGGGCCTGCTTGCCTCAAAGGAGCAAACTTATGTTGAAAGTGTGTGAATACCCTTATGCACGGCAAGGGGAATTCTAGATCAATGAAACTCGTCCTGCAGCTCTCCAGGCGGTATGACTATCAAGGAGTCTGAAGTGTGCAGGCAAACACTGCCATCAGGACTGCACCCTTGGGAATTGTGGTCGCAACACTTCCCTAACCGCGGGATACACCAGCTGGTCGCTCACCAAGCAAGAAAGCAAGAATGCAAGCAGGCAAGCAATGCAAGCAATGCAAGCAATGCAAGCAATGCAAGCAAGCAAGCAAGCAAGCAAGCAAGCAATGCAAGCAAGCAATGCAAGCAAGAATGCAAGCAAGAATGCAAGTAAGAATGCACGCAAGCAAGAATGCAAGCAAGCAAGCAAGCAAGAATGCAAGCAAGCAAGCAAGCAAGCAAGCAAGCAAGCAAGCAAGCAAGCAAGCAAGCAAGCAAGAATGCAAGAATGCAAGAATGCAAGCAAGCAAGCAAGCAAGCAAGCAAGCAAGCAAGCAAGCAAGCAAGCAAAGCAAAGCAAAGCAAAGCAAGCAAGCAAGCAAGCAAGCAAGCAACCAGTTTGGAATTTTGGCAGGGAAGGTCGCAGGGTTTCATGTAAATCCCCTGCACACGTCAGCAACCTACAAGCTCATGTTGCGAATCCGGGCACCCAAAACCCGGAGAGAATTTCGGAGATGGATTTGGATGAAGGCACAAGATATTCAAATCAGACATGGACCGTTGGGTTTTGATTGAGATCAGGAAACCATCATCCGGATTCCCCAAATGTAAGCACCATGTTTGTTCTATTGCCTGTACCAACAAACCTAGCTGAGCAAACCATCCAGCAAGGTGACACCCAAACCATCGAAACACCAGCGGAACGGCCAGTCGTGAAATGTATTCTTGGAAATTCTCTGGGGCATTTGAGCCCACGAAGCTTCGCCGTGCTTGGACACCCCCTGCAAACTGTTTGCTGGCAAAGCACAAATGCGGGAAACCCAAAAGGACAGGTCTTTCTGCTACGTGGCAGGTTCCACATTAGTCTGAAGGCACCCTTGCAAGAGGTGAAAACATAAACTAGACGCCCCAAAGGCTTGTCTAACTTTGTTTGACCTTCGTGTGGCATATGTAGAGCTCGTACCGTTTTGCGGGCAAATCACCCTAAATGACGTGGAAACTGCAATAAAGTATTTCAAACTGGCTGCTTCCATTTGCTTTAGGTGAAACTGTTCAAACAACATGTGTGAATTGCCTACAATAACTTTTGCCCCCTGAAATCAAGAGCCTCCGCCCCTTTTTGGATGGTTTTAAAGGGGAACCGAAGGAAACATTCTATGGGTGGTTTTCTACAACCAGCTTGAAAGGGAACTTCAATTGCAGGGGTTCCCTATTCTTGCGTTTCACACAATTCTTCCAAGCGGCTGTGTTGACATGCACTTCGTGATGCAACATGGGCACTCGAAGGAGCAAACTTGGCGATGTGATCTGGTCCATCGTAGTCGCTTCAAGGAACATTGGTGGTATTCAACGTCCAGGCGCAGGTGAAAGCACCAATACGGGCTCGCCACAAAGCCTCGCGACGAAAAGCAATCCTTGGGAACTATCCTCCACAAGGAAATTCAGGGAATGTTCGTCTTTCCAAAGAACAACAGACTTCATTGTGGAGAATGTTTTTGGTAAGGACACTTTCTTGGCCAAGCCCCAGCTATCAAACTCAGCGACTGGATGGGCTTCCTACTTCCCTTTAAACCTAAGCTGGAGCCAAAGGCTGAGGGAAATGTCGAAGTGCCCTCACGTTGCCGGTTCGGCCATGGAACCATCGTCTTTTTATTCGGGTACGGGGCTTAACAAGAAGGTCCAAGGGACACCACCCATTTTGAGGCTTCGCTAGTTGAAGACACCATTGCCATTGCTGATGTGTGGTTCTTATTGAACCAACATCTTCCACATATGTGCAAGTCTCCCAGATTGAACAAGTCTGACTCCATGCAAGTCCCTTCCAGGAGTGCCTTCGGGTTTGCGAAGGGACATGGGCGCGCGCAATGGACATGGGCAGATTCGTGTATCCCGTTGTGTTATGTGGCAAATCGCATGAGTCACCCATCTCCATCTCAAATTCAAGACAGACTATGCATCCGAGCAAAGCCCAACCTAAACTATGCGCGAGTGCTGTTTGTGCATGCTCGGACTATGCCCGCACAGTGTAACTTCACGGTTTAATGCAAACAACCTCAGCAATAAGTGGTTCCAACGAAGAAACCTTCCTGGTTGGCGTGCATGCGTCCAGGTCGATGTTTGCTCCGTCCGGAAGCATCTCGCTATTTGCTCGTGATGCCACCAACAGCACTGTTGCAAAGTTTGGAATGAACCATACTCATCAATCCACGTTCGTGTGTGCGTTGCCAGACAGTCATTCATTTGAAGCATCAAGCCGGGTGTTATTCAAAAACATAGTCAACTTAATCGAATTTTATATCGTGTCCCCAAACACAAACCGCCACCACAACGTGGAAGACCATTCTTGTGGGTTGATGCAATTAATTGGGCGGGGGCAGGAGTTAAGCCATACCCAAAAACCAATGCCAAATTGTGCCCAAAACGACTCGCTTGGCCTTTGCGTAAATCATTTGCCGCCTCACGCCGTAGATTTGACGTATGTGTCACCATAAGAAATACGGCAAAGGTGTCTGTCTACCCCAACCAAAGTAAAACAAAAAAGTGGGCGGCCGCACCTGTTGGTTGGCACCGTCCCTACGCTTCGACGGCTTTGAGCAAGGGGCTCGTATGCGAGCCACAAAGGAAGCCGTTGCAAGCTAATCACAACGTGGCCTTTATCGACCAGGGCGCATTGAGGACCGAGGCCAGGTCTTTTCTTGTGGCTCTTCAGCTGTTAGAATGTGGTTGAAGGAAGGTTTCTGATTGTGTCTCCTGATGAACGCCCAACTGGGGCTGCCATGAAAAGGTTCCTGCAAAAGAAGCTCAACAGCGACGTTTCTTAGCTTCTAAACACAACAAGCTGCATCCCCCAAGAACCTTCGTGAGTGAGACTGTCTTTCTCAGAGTCCGAGAGGTGGGCCCCACAATTTGCGCCATGTTTTGGTCCCGCATTTGTGGCAGCTGCGCTTGCAACTCGAATTCGCTGACACATTCGCCGGGAGAGGTCTCAATCTTCCAAGCACAAAACGGAGATTTGGGTGTCTTTCTGATGGTACCCTTGTTTGGTGCTTTTCAAGGGTCCACAATCTTGGGCGGTCCCAAGATTGACACACACCCATTTTGGATTGCTCTTCCAAAGGCAAAACGGACCATGGTTTGCTTCAGGGGTCTTCCAGTTCCTACCGACCGCAGTCCATTTTTCAAGTCGGTCCAAAAAGTGATTGTCTTTCCCCTTTTCCCAATGGTACGTTTTTCGGGAAATCACGCCTTTCTAGCTTGGATCCCGAACTGTCAACATCTCCTGATAACAAAACGGTAACGGGCGTCGAAAGGCCCCGCTATCGGTTGGCACCTCGCGGCTCGGTTCGCTCACTTCTTGCTGCATTTGCCTGTGGCCATGGAGGGCCCAACAAGCGGGGATGGGTGGGGGTTCCTTGACTTTGTCCCCGTTGGGAACAAGAGTTCGGTGTCTGTGGGCTTCCTTCACAGGTCCCCAGGCCCCAAGACCAAACACCCAAACACTTGCTCCACGAGAAAAGTGAGGGGACATGCGTATGATTCAAGGTGTCTTACAGCTGAAACATCAGTTAGTGACAAGGCCTTAAAAATTTAGCAAACAACCCTACCTGGAGTCTCCATGACCCTTTAAAAATGGGTCCATGACCCCATTATTTTGGGTAATGACCAACCATTTTTAAAGGGTCGTGGAGACTCCAGGTAGAGGTAGCTTCCTCTCAGGCACATGTCACCTCTAGCTCTCAGATCCCAATGTCTTCATTCCCGATGGCTTCTCCCTTGGCCGTCGCTGCTCAAGATCCTTCCGAGGTCTCCGAAGGAAAAAAGGTCGAAGCCTTCTGATTTGGGGCCCCGAAAAGGGGGTCTGACCCGAAAAGCTTCCGAAATCGGCGGCGAAAGACACAGTGTCCTTACAAAAAAAAAGCCAATAAAGAGGCCAATCCCAAAAGGAGATTTGACTTGGCTGTGTTTGTTGTGAAACATTGAAGCCATGAAACTTCCCAGGTCTTGCACAAAAACCTTGCTGCTTCACCAAGTGAATGAACTTCCCGTTGAACTAGGCCCAAGCTTGCGACGCTGACAAGGGGGATTTGTTTCATGTCGGCTCCCTCATGTGAATTAAGGGTCTGTTTTGACGCATACTCTTCTGAAACTCACAAGATACTCAGCCCGTCTTCAGCTGTAGATGAATATCCTCATGAAACACGACGCATTTTTGCGTGCCATCTGTCAAAGGTCAGGGGCGCATCGCCATTTGGGTGTGAATTGCAATTAGGGACCCCTTGGTGGACATCCGTTTTTGCCCTTGTCGTTTTGTTCCTTACGACTGGAGGGAAGCACGAAGCTTCCCCCAAGAGGACTTGCAACACTTCGGGCTCATCCCCTGGATCCGGTTGCTCGGGCACATCGCTCCACGTCCCTCCAAATTTGTTTTTCCCCCCTGGCCATTTTGCCCAAACCTCAGCGCCCCCGCCGTCTTTCCACCGGCACTTGTCACTGCCCTTGCACCGGGACTCGTCCCTCACTGAGCACCTGCGATGATCGGATCCTGGTTCGGTTCATGGCCGAAACCTTGGTCTAGACGTTTCACATTTCTACCTGGAGTCTCCATGACCCTTTAAAGATGGGTCCATGACGCCATTGTTTTGGGTCATGACCCCAGTATTTTGGGTTATGACCAACCATTTTTAGAGGGTCATGAAGACTCCAGGTAGGGGTTGATTCCCCACTCTTTTCAAAAACCAGCCATTTCCCCGGGGGTTTTAAGGTGATGTTCTAGAAAAAACAAAAATCCCTGGAAAAAATGTGGAAGGTACCCCTAGAACTTTGGAGGCACCAACTATCTTGCTGGTTCTTAGGGAATGAGAAATGGAATGACCCCTGCAAACCAACCCCTATGATTTCCCTTAAGCTAGTCCCTGGGTTCATTCCCACATGCCCTACTGGGCACCAGCAAGCTATGGAGTTCACGAGACGTGTTTCACTCTGGCCCACTCTTGTAGCACATCCGTTTAGCTCTTTTCGCACTCGAATATTTTCAGGGATCGACGGCTTGGGCTTGCAAAACAACCCCTAGACTTTGCTTACCCCAACAACCCACTTGGTATGAAACTCCTGCAAGAAAGCCATTCTGTGGTTTAGATAACGCGGGGGCGTGGGGGGGCGGGGGCTCTTTGTCAACAACGCCGTCCCCCTGGAGTGCCTTTTGCGCTTCAACGGGCACTAGGGATTTGGGCTCTGCTTAATGGAGCAGTGCCGACAATAGTACCTGGATCTTCCAACAGCACGGTTTTTTCTGCTGAAAACTATGCCGTTTGCTCAAAAAGTGACCGCTTTCATCAACTTCGAAAGGAACAGGGACCGCTAAAAAGTACGCTTCTTGAAATTGCGCCCGTTTGCGCGAAATTGCGTCCTTGTGCGGGGAATTGCGCCCGTTGTGCGGCCTAATTGTTTGGCCGCAATCTTGCTGTTTCACACCATTGTGCACAAGGTCCCAAGAAAACGCTAGTTTCCAGAAAAGCGCGCGTTTCCTCAAAAATTGCCGTTTTGCTGAAAAGCATCCGTTTGGGGGTGGGAACAGAAAAAAACATGCCAAACGAAGATCCAGGTATGAATGGCTGCTGGAAGGAACTTGCCAAGCGCCCATAGTTTCGAAACGCAAAGCGACGTGGTCTTACAAGCCCCCACGCTCTTCACATCATTTACACCAACTGTTTTTGTTCGGCTCCCTATTGAAAATCACAATCCACCAAACCTGTCAAGCCCCGAGGGGCTGGGAAACCTTAAACCCATGGCAAAGCTACCCTTCCACCCATCAACTAAGAAGCAAGCTCACAGAAACACTCGCCAACGGGACACACGTCTTAGAGGGGCCTTTGCAGTCCCGCGTTTGTCGAATACGAAAGTGCTTCTCTTTACGGCTACCAGCTCCTTGTTCAAGCGAGGGGAGTCCTTATTCAATCCCCCAAGGGTTTCTTGGGGGACCCGCAAATGGGTTCGAACGAAGGGTTCCTACACGCATGATGCTCCTGTTCTTTCAGAACCCGTTCGGGCCCCCTGTACTTCAGGTGCTTTTTGGGATTACACAAAAATTCCAAGCAACAGGTTGCCCAAAAAATACAAACTCATTAACAATAGAAAAAAGAGCCAAAGCGGGAAATCCACGTTTTCCGCTGAGGCGATCAGCCGACAACACCTATCGCCGCTTGGCGCGACAACACGCGCGCGGCGCGCCTCATCTCGCATGCCTGGCGGCAGATCGGTTTTGATCGCCGAATCCCGAATTGAGCTTCGGCTCAAAGGGGCAGCGGAATTCATGGGAAAATGGGGCCCTTAAAAAATGGGGTCATTACCCAAAAGAAAGGGGTCATGACCCGACTTTTAAAGGGTCATGGAGACTCTAGGTAAAGAAAGGGACCTCGTGCACCGGCGCAACCCGCAACCCTCAAGAATTGTACTGGTTGCAACCCGCAACCCAGAAGAATTGCAGTGTGGAATTCAGGGGAAAAATGGGTGTAAACACTTCTGCAAGTTGGAAAGACTTGTCCAAAAGGCCAAGCCAGTTGGGCTCTCCAAGGCGAGTGGCACTTTGAACAAATCTGACTGTAAGTGAAATTATTCCATCTTCCGCCAACCTTTCCGCTTGACATTGTAGGAATTAGCATTGTTGCCGAGCATTCTCTGCGCCAAGCAGTGAACTATGTGCTTTTAAGCGCAGCAGAAAGCGCCGCTTCATTCCGGAAGGTTGAGGAGCTGCCGCTGCTTGCGGTGGGAAAGGCAGGCTTCCGCAACACTTTCGCAGCGCTTCCGCAGAAATCAACGATACGCTTCGGACTGCTTTCTTGGTTTACGTCCATCCCTTTTTTGACACGCACATCAGTCTCTTCATGCAGCAAATGCTGCTTGATCGTTGGCACCATTGTCATTTGCCTGTTGAAACAACTGCAGCGTCAGCACAAACAGACATATGCTGTAAAACAACCCTTCCGCGAAAGAAAAAAAGGCTTCAGCGAAGCTTTGCGGCCGTCCGTGACTGTGGCGCGGCACGCGTTTCCACCTTTGCATACTTTATCCAGAGCCAAAACTGAGCCAAAAACCAGAACTCAGATGAGAACCCCTGAGCACCATGAATCTGTGAAATACCGTGCTGAGGGAATTGAGACCTTGCTTGCGGTTCCCGGTTATAGAAATGCGTGCAAAGAAAATTGAACCCGTGGTCAATTGAACAGGACTGAACAGGAATAGTGATCATCAACCCCCCCGCATGAGGGAATATTGAAGTCATTGTCCCTATCCATATGGGCCAAACGCACGTTGAACCAGTCCCTCGCAGCAGGAGAAGCAGCGTCAACATATCAAGCATGATTTGCCGCCATGTGGGTGTGGGCTAAGAATAGGGTAACCCCAAAAGACAAATCCTGGTAAATGGAGATGGAAACATCAACTACAACCTGCGGTCCCCTGATCCTTTAATTTTGACCCATACCCATGTTTTGTCCATGTGCTAATCAATCGACCAAGACCAGCCGCATAGGATACTCGAGGATACTGTATCATGGGAATGTGCCCCCTTTTTGAGTTCCATGTGAAGTAACTTGCAGAGAACAAAACCATAACAGAACGGAACCGCCGGAGCTCTGCCAAATATAAAAAAAAAATAGACACGCCGCACGCGGCGCCCAAATCCCCGCGGCGGCCGGCTGGCGGCTCGCTGGCGCCTCATCCCCGGTGCTCCAGGCGCATTGCCGCAGCTGGCCGCAGGAGGCCTTCGTCTGGGCGTGGCTGCAGGAGAGGCAGTAGGCCTCGGCTCGGGTCTTTTCGCCTCGCGCCTTCGTGGAGAAAAGTGTCCGACTCCCTCTTAATGGATTCCTTGTTGGGGGGGTTGCCCATTTCACAAAAGATTACAACAAGACCCCCCTGGTAGGCCTCGGCTCTCGCGCCATCCCCCACCATCCCCCGCCATCCGGATGCCGTCGGATGGCCGACGAGTCGCAACTCGCATCCGATGGCTCCAGTTGGGGGCGGATGAACACCTCTGTACCACCTGGTTTGAAGGTTCACCAGGACTTTGAGAACCAAAATAAACAGCCAAATTTATTGGGTCCAATTTTCACCAGGACTTTGATAACCACAAGAAACGGCTTAAATAATGGCCCCAGATGGATGCGCGTCGATGGATGCGCGTTGGAGGGACCCGGAGGTGCCGAGAAAAGACGTGGATCACCTCTTGCGTGGGACACCTCTTGCAAAAAGTCAAGCGGTTGTGATATCAATCCTGGGTTCACCTTTGAAAACGCAAGACACCTAGTGCTCCTAAGTGCCATAGATTGATCGTCTTAGATCTGGGCTGAACTAAAGGGAAACCATCCGGTTGCCTAGTAATGAGGATCTGGGAAAGGAATTGAGCAGCATCATTTGAATTTTGAAACAGCGACAGTATCAACTGGATCATGAAAGATGAATTGACGGGAGGTTTCTTCAACAATATGCCCATTCCCATAGGGGCGCAGCAAGTCTGATGTACTAGTTGGGTCCCGCAACCAGGAATCCATAGGTCCCTGACCAAGGGAATCGAAAAGAAGTCGACATGTTTCTGTTGATGTTCAAGATGTAGATACCTGCAATTGTCTGTGGGTGGACAATACAATCCCTGCACCACCTGAAATTGATGAAACCTCACAAATAGTGGCAAAACCGCATACCAGCTGGTGCAGGATGTTGTCCATCCACAGCTGTTTTTCTGCTGGCGTCTGCTGATTTTCAGGGCATCATTGTTGAAACTGGCGGGTCAACCGGGACCCTGCGCAGGGATTTTTGGCTCTCGCACCGGCCTCGATCGGATCCTTTGGAATGCACTTCGCCCTCCGCAACTCGCATCCTAAAGGAAAAAACCCCAGATGAGGGTCCTGGGCTTTGGAGAGTTCCCCATGGGCGACATGGAGTCTGAGTTCAATCGACAACTCGAAGCACGGAACTGCGACGCCCTTTCTGGCGCTTGAAGGGAGTTCCCCCCTAGGAAACAGCAAGGAAAGACCCCAAAAGCCCACCACCCCCACCCCAGAACACTGTTCGGAACACCTTCTAAGTTCAAATGGCAGGGTCTGAGCACCTACCTGCCGGGGGGCGGGGGGGGGAGGGACTCCATAGCAATGAACATGGTTCGCTTACCCTTGATTCCCATTGACCCCAAGAAGTGCTTTCCCACTTTACCAAAACACGGCCCCTCCCCGCTTCGAGAAGAAAACAAAACACGGCGCCATGCCACGCACCTCGGCGCTCTTCAGCATCTCACCACGGAAGACCTGCTGTATGGAAGCGGTCAGGTCACCCGGCGGTCGAACTGCACTGTGGATGGTAAGAGGCGCCAGCCAAGAAACCCCGGTTTCTGATGATTCCCCTGTAAATGCCAACGAGCAATTGTTTCCCCAAAGGTGGTGCGAACGGATTTCGTCCCTCCACAGTAGCTTCCAATTTCTGGGGCGGAACACAGGTTTTTCACGCATTGAGAGTTGCAGTAGATAGAGTATCCCTTGTCCATACACCTGAAGTGCCTGGTTGCCAGCCCACTTGACAATGCATGTTGGGATGGATGTAAAGCCTGGCTTTTCAACCATTGTTTGGAAACAACAAACAAACAAAAAACATAAGGGAGAGAGCGAGGAAGAGAGAGACAGAGAGAACGTGACAGAAAGAGAAAGATAGAGAGAAAGATAGAGAGAGAGAGAGAGGGAGAGAGAGAGAGAGAGAGAGAGTTGAGAGCGAGAGAAAACAACCGCAAATCGAGCACACCCAATGTATTGACTATGAAAGCAGAGAGCATCCCGTTGAAAAAAAATAGCCCTGACATCGCTACGGCCAATGGAAGGCTTGGGCGAGAATAGGACTCCCTGAACCTGGGGATACGAAGTCTGTGCTAACGGAGGTTCCCAACAGCACACCAAAGGACTCAGAGATGCCTCTGATGCATCCGCAGGAAATGAAACATAAGTTCCGAATGAACGAACAGCGACATAGCAACCTCTTTGCGTATCTCTGAAGTCAGAGATCATTGGGAATCAGCAGGAATAGAACATGCGGGCATTTCTCCGAAACACATGGCCTGTTTGGGTTGCAGGTGCAGTCAAGGCTGGCATCAAGTTGTCAACCCACAAAATCGCGACTGGCAGGGTTTGTCTCAAAATAGGGGAATCCACATAGGGGGGCCCTTTTGATTTCCCTAAAAACAATCTTGAAAAGGGCACTCTCAAAACATAGGTTGAGTGTGGTTCGTCTTTTAGGAATCGGACACCATTTTGGGTGGCTTTCCTTTCGGTGCTCCTTCAAAACCACCCAAAACAGAGGGAGGGCACCTCCAAAAATTGGGCTGTCCTCAGATCCCCTGCCAAAAGTTCAACTTTTCATGGGTTAATGGAACCCCCCCTCCTAAAAACATCCAAAAAGCTCAGGAACCGCATTCGGTTGCCTGGGAGCCGCCCAAAAATCGAGCCACTCGAAACCGCGCGAACCGCGCGCCTCATCTCGAGGCGCCGCCTCGCAGACCTGATCCGCCTCGCACTCCTGCGACGCGGAGTTCGTGCGCCCGCCCAGCGGACGGCGACCAAAACGGACGGCGAGCCATGGAATTTGCCATTCTAGGGGTTGATTCCCATTCCCATTCTTTGGGATCATCGTTCTGTTCAACCGGCCGTTTTCATTGGGTTTCCGGAGGTTTTCCAGAAAAAAGGATCCCTGGAAAGAATGGGGAAGGTACTTACAGCCATGGAACCTGGACCTGGGTACGGAACAAGGACGGGGTCAGCTATTTAAAAAAAGGCGGCACATTCTTTGCCAGCCAAAATGCCCTCGCCTTGTCCAAAAAGCAGTGAGAAGGGGGGGGTCTGTGTACTCTTGATTTGGAATAGCCCCCCAACAGAGGAAATTGCAGGGCGCTGGGTCTCATAGCAGCCTCTCCTTCACTCAAGATCCACCCTTGGAGGAATGTGCCAACTGGATCAACATTCTTGAGGACATGCCTTCATAGCCATGGATTGCGCTGATTGGCCGTGACGAACGTCCTTGTCGTCGCAGGGATCCACACCTTAGCATGGCGCGTCTTAAACAGACACTCGCTGCTCGCTTTCTGAGTGACTTGGCCAAACAATGGCATGTTTTTTTCCTTGCCACTAACATGCTCTTCCCAAAAGGTATCAAGTCCTGGAATTTGGGGGGGTGTTTCCTAATTATCTCTTTCGTTACCCTGACTTCTTTGGAGAACTTAAGCCCCACAACACAGAGGAAGGGTGGTTTCCAAGACACCATCGACACTTGTTTGGTAGAGATTTGGTGGCCGGGAATCTGTATGGATCCTGAATTTCTGCCTGGTGTTGGGCGTCCAGTAAAGGAGTGCTAAGTAGGGGTCTAGAAAGGACAGCTGCAATTTTGCTGTGACGGCATGAACCAAAAGTAGGCTTTTTAGCACCCAGTCTTGCTCAGAGCAAACCTATACCTCCAGGAAGCAGGGCCCCATCGCAAGTCAGCAAGTTCGGATGAAAGGCAATCACGTGCAATAAGCATACAAAAGATGTCCCAAAAGAGTTTCAAGGGCTTCCTGTCACTCGTCGAAATGCAACATTTCAGCGAGTTGCAAGCAAGCTGCATGTCGGCTTGTCATCCTGAACTCGGCAGTCCTCCTGAGCAGTGCGCGGGCGCTCTTTTGCTATACCACAAAGGCCCAAATCCTAATAATATAGCCTCCATTTGCTTAAGTCCCCAAATGAGAAAATATGTCCAGTAGTGCTAGATTCAATTGAAAACCAACAGTTGAAAATAATGAATATGCGTTTCAGCAAGTGGAAGATAAAGGGTGCATAGCCTAGCCATATTTGCTAGGTGGTTATCAGGTTGCTGACCCTTACCAAAAGTTCAACTTTTTCGGGGACTTGGCAAATTGATTGTTGAAAAACCTGAAAGAATTAATGGACCCTCCAGAGAGCGAGAGAGAGAGAGAGAGAGAAAGCTTCATGGGTGAGATCGCACGCCGGAACCGTGAGGTTTCTGCAATTTGCCCAAACTCTGACGATGAAATAGTAATATAAGACACAAGCTAGAAGAAACTCTACAGGATATTAGCCCAAACCCCTCAAAAGGGCCTTTTGGCTAACTTCCTTCAACGCTTTCTGCAGCCGGTTCCTATGGTGCTCGGGACCCAAAACACACACAGCCCCACCATCCCTTATTATCTCAGCAAAACTATATTGTTTGTTGCATGCCCCACTCTGCATAGAACCCAAACACACAAAACGAACAATAAAACATGCCTTGCAGAGTCGAGACATAAGCATCACAATGTACCCTGGCCTCTAGCACTCTTGGAAACACGGACATGCATGTCGGTTTGTCTCTTGAGCCACCAACACCGGTCCTTCCCCTGGGGCTCCCACTAACAACAACCCTTGGGGCTCCCACTAACAACAAGCTCAACAACAAGCCCAACAAAAAAAACAACACATTGCGGCCTGATTGTCGGGCTTGTTCTTGCTGAATTCTGAAATGTGTTTTATCCTGGCATTCATCCACTTCTGTGTATATGCCCAAATTCACTACTTTCCAAAGATGTGGAAGGAATACAAACTCATGGCAACAGGCTGAGAAAGTGATCCGTTTCTCCCATATGTCAATCAAAATTGCCTGCCAACCCGATCAAACTGACATTCCTGGTCCTGGTCCTGTTATGTACATTTCACCGGGGGCCAAGACAAATTCAGGAAACAAACCACGTTTTGGCATCAAAGTTTCACAGAAGCTCAGAATTTTCTAAGCCACACCACCCCATTCTGAAGAGCTAACCCAATTTCCCCCAAAATGGATGCAACAACAATTGCCATCGAAGCAGTCTACCCAAGCAAGGCTAAAACTCAACTGTTCCCATTCTCTCCCTTTGCCGACTCCCAGCAGCCCACCAGGCCTCTCCCAAGCAGGGGCGGTCAGCCTTGCCCTTGTTGTTTTGCCCACATCCATGTCATGAATCATTGCCAAGGCGACACTGACAAACATAAAGCCCGTGGCTTCACGGCAAGCATTGAAGCATCCTCCTGATGGCACCGCGGGCCCCTCATCAGCCAACCCACCAAAGTGGTGCCCGCGAGCCAATTTTCCACAAGCTTCCAATTCACTTCCTCATTCTTTCAATGGGGGCCCACGCAGCAGCCCACGCAGCAGTTGTCATCACTTTCGGGAGGAAAGACCGGGAATCCTAGAAAATTGGATGCTTGGAAAGAATGGGTTTTAACCGAAAATATGGCCTCATACAATACTTCCCCATTCTTTCTGGCTTTCCAATTTTCACCCCAAACAGATGCAAAAACGAAAAAATAGCAGAGACACACTGACCTTTCATTGAAAGAACGATGCTGGGGGACAGAATGATGGGGTGGTGAAAGAAGGGAAATAATGATGGTTGTGGGGAAAGAACAATGGTTGGGGAAAGAACGATGGTTGGGGAAAGAACGATGGCCCTGGTGAAAGAACGATGGTTGTAGGGAAAGAACGATGCCCCTGAAAACAGAACGCTGCCAGTAAGATCGATGGCCTGCAGCGGCATGACTTTGGCAGGTCAGGGGAAGGGGTTGTCTAGTCTATTGGCCCTACCCCTAGCCCGCGGAACAACTGTCTGCATGAATCAGCTGCAGAAAAAAATCAAAAACTGAGCCGAAACCGGCTGGAAAGACCGATCGTTGCACTGAGTGAGCGTGTGACGAAAGAATGGGGAATCAACCCTTAGTGACCTTGCATACATAATCCAAGTTGGCAAATCACTACAAACGTATGGGTCTATCTTTTTTGGGGAAACCCCCAAAATGGGCTTCGGTTCTCCTCTGGGTTCTCTTCCAAGCCAACCAAAAACGGGTACCCTCAAAAAGACACACCCGAGTTGTCGTGGTGCCTTGGAAATTCAGGAGTGAATAAAAACAATCCACACAATTCGGCAGAAAGGGATGGCCACCCCAAGTTCAAGTCCATACCTTTGTTTGGCTTGCGTTTAGCCAACGGCTAAAATGTAAGGTGTCTCTCAGAGTTGACCCCAACAACACAAACGGGTATGTTTCTTTCCTAGGGGACCCCCACAATGGCCTTCGGTTCTCCTTTTGCTTTCCCTTCATCAAAAGAAAGGGTTGGCACATTTGCTCGGGAACTCCAAACAAAGGTTAGGTTACCACATTTGAAAAAGGCTGCCGCATTTGTTCGGTTTTTCTTGTCTTTTTTGGCGGGAACTCGCAAAAACCGACGGACCCAAACTGTTGTTTGAAACTTCTCACCGCTTCGCCGGCTCCTTGGGCTTGCACTCGTCGAAGATGCGGCGGTCACAGATCCCCACGCACAGGGGCCGCGTGAGGCCTGCGCCCGACTGCTGGGCTGCTGGGCAGCCCGACAGTAGAGAGGTTAGAATAAGGGTACCCTTTTTTCTGTAGTCTATTTTAGTAGGGGGACCCTCCCCTAACAAAAGGTAAAAGGTCACTACTGGGGGACCTAGTCAACTTTTAGTGGATTAGATGCAACACCCCGCTAGACCAGCTGAGAGGTAAAAAGCTTTACGGGGATGGCTGGGAGCCACCGAGGTAGCTATCTAGCGCCCAAAATATGAAAACGCATTGTACGTTAAGATTTGCACAACCACGCTAAGTCAGATTCAGAATAGAATCCTGCGTGTACTATGAAATTATGTTGCCCCTACAAATGCTTAAAGAAACTGGAAATCACGTGTTGACTTTTAGGGGACTCACACTTTGCCGAGCAGGGAACACCCATCGGTTTTTTTTGGAGACTCTAGGTTGGGATTTGCAGCCGAGTCTGAAAGCTTGGAAAGGAGGAGTGGGAGACACTCGGGTCGCCTTCTGGGCTCTTGAAGAGGCCGCATCTCAGAGTCAGGTCACAGCGAAGGAGCAATCGACATGGCCACGGGTTAGTCAATTCACCGAAGCGAGGTCACTCAATAGATCACGTGTTTTAGGAACGCCCTGCCTCAAACTACCATGTGGTGTATCCTCAGAGAAGCAATGCAACCCTTTAAATGCTTTGCTGTTGGCTGCGGTTTAAATGAGGGAACCTCAAAATACTTTCAATGGAGCACAAAATTATGCACCGCGACTGGATGAACCTCTGCATGAACCCCTTCCACCAGTCGAAGTGGATTCTGTCCGTTCACAGGCGAGTCCTGCTCAACAGCTGGTACAAAAATGGATTCTGCCCAAACCAGGTCCAGAGTTCCCAGGGCGGATTTCCGCCGCCGCGGTCGAAAATGCGTCCCTTCACCTCGCCCGGGTTTTGAGGCCGTTTCGGCCTTCAAAGTTCTCCTCGGTGCCGTCACGGCACACCGGCCTGGTGGGATGGGTGGATGAGAGTGGTTGGTGGTTGGTGGTTGGTGGTTGGTGGTTGGTGGTTGGTGGTTGGTGGGTGGGGGGTGGGGGGTGGGGGGTGGGGGGTGAGGGGTGGTTGGGTCCCTGACGACTTCCCCATAAACAGCTTCCCACCTTGAAGCTCACTCGCTTGGCTGTTTGAAACTACCATAAGGGAAACCTTGCCTTTGAGGGGCTCTCTCTGCACACCCGAAAGCGGGCCACAATCCTTCGAGAAAGCCTGTGGAACCTAGAATCAACAATATTCACAGATCTTCCTGTAAAGGTCGTGGTCCAGGGGTCGGAAGCTGAACTCTTTGATCTTTGATTGGTGGTTGTTTTGCATCACCATACCTCCGATTCACACCTGCGACAGAAACATGCCTAGGAATCCTTCCGCACATGTTTAATAAGGCTTCAAACCTTGCTTCAGACAGATCTCGAGCGGGACCTGGGTGGCCTCATGACCACGACTCTCGCCATGATGAGAATGTCCAGTTAAACGGGACTACCACGGCTGTCGCATCAAACCAAGCGTCCAGCGAACACAAATCTGCAATCGCAATGCCCTTTAGCCTGCTTCATGCAGAACCAGCTGCCTATCTCAAATGGAAACGCCGACTCATTGCCAAGACACGTCGCGCCAGTGCATTTCACGTGGTCCGCGCATGTCCTAAGATCACTCTGGTTGCAAACTGTACATCTCACGAGACTGAAATGAGGAACCTTCAAGAATGACACCTTTGCCATACTGTGGACGGACAAAATTCCATTTCGCACCACCTAAGACACCCTGGAGTGATGATGAAGCTGTAAATACCAACAAGCAATGGTTTCAAGAAGGCTTTTTTAGGTGGTGCGACATGGATTTCGTCCATCCACACGACCTCCATTTGCAGGCTCGGTATCTGTAAGATTTCGCTACATGAGTATTTCCTTGCCTGCTTACCATTCAGCATTTCTTTCGGATGTGCACCTTGTGGCCCCCCTACCTGATACATTCATTAGATGGACATAGGTACTTATACAAGCAACAATACAGAATCAACATCATTACACCCTTTATCCTATGAGCCTGACTTGATTTGGGTGTGGCTCAAAATCAAAAAGGAGAACAAACCGCAGGTTTTGGTCCATGTTTCCACTTACTAGGGCAACCCATTCTGGAATTCCGGTTTTTCGAGCCACAGCCATTTGGCCTTTTAAGGCACTCCAAGTAATTTCCCGGTTTTGGGCGGTAGAACTCCGCACTCCGGCCATATGCTTGCCGCGCATCTGCTGCGAGAGCCACACGTCCGCAAAGGCCTCGGCTCCTTGAGCGATTCCGCCGAGGACCTGAGGCTCGCAGGAAGATGCGGCCCACGAACCTAGGGGAATCCAGGCGGGGGTTGATGAATATTCCTGGCTCCACCATGGGTAACTGCTCCAAAGTAGGTGAAAGTTACACCTCCGCAAACAAACATATTGAACAAAAAACGAACAAGGGGGGGAAAAACATGTGTACGTCTATGTTGGAGGGTGGTGGTTTCCTGATGCTGTCAAGGACCTTTTGATCAACCCCATGGCTCCACCCTTCACGCAAACAGGGCATGCCAAGGGCTCAAGTACCGCTAGTTTGACCAAAGCTATCCCCGCAACGAGCTGTTTCGCAGCGTATCGAGCCACACAAGTGCAATTGTTGCTAGTTAAACTAGTGAGCAAGAGCAAAAAAAACAAAGTCCAACAAGCCAACGACAAGAGGGCCAAAGAGCCATCAACATGAAGAAAAGGGGGGACAACAAGTCGTGCAAATTCAGTGAACTCAAACCCGCATCAGCTTCAAGGGGCTGAACGCCTTCGTCCAGATGAAAACAGCACAGGCCTGGCCTTAAAGGGATCATGTCCAAGACGCGATTCTTGGTTCTTGGCCCTATGGGACGAAAGCAATCTACCTCTTTGACACCACTGGAAACATGCCCGTCTCCCAGGTTCATTTAAATCTACGAGGCCCCCCCCCAAACAGATAGGACTGCTTCCAGCATCCAAAAAGCACGCATCCAAAAAGTACCACAGACCCATATTGTCGCCCTTGTTCAGTTGTACATGAGGGCTAAAACATGTGTCCCAAAATTGGGGAACCCCCCCCCAAAACAACAACAGCAACAAGTTGGTTCCCTGTGAAATCTGCAGCTCAGCGGCGTAGATGGTGTCGTTGGCATCCACCTAGGCCGGAGGTACGAGAGGGAAATATCAGCGGACCGGCGGACCGTTGGGCTTTGAAGCAACAACACTAACGATAACCCCTTTAACGTTTCTGCTTGGCGTTTCTTGGGATTGTTGCGCGCCAGAAGAGGAACAACTCTGAAAATACCCCCCTGAACGATCCTGTTTTTTGTCTGGCTGTAGGGATTGTGGCCCGGGTCCAGGTCCAAGCTTCGCCAAAGCAAGCTGCCCTTTAGATGCCATTCGCGCACATCTGGGCTTCCCGGCCAGTGCTGCATGCTCGTAGCGAGCGGCCCAGGAAGATGCACGGGTGACTTCTACCCAGGAGACCCCTGCGAGAGAGCGAGCCCCGGACCAGACTGGGTGTTAAACAGGAAATCCGGAACAACGCAAACAAAAACAAACACAAACAACCGACCAAAAAAGCATATCCCTTCATATCCTTTTACGACAATTTGACAGTCGTGACTCCTTGCAAGGATCTCGGAAAGGCAACCGCCATCCACTTGTGAGAGTGGGCAACTCCTTTCAAGGAATCACTGCTTCGACAGTCGCTGCGACAACGCATCTTGGATTCTGCTCTTTGAGCACGGGTGCGAGGGGAGCAATGAGCCAAATCATCTTGGCCCAGAGGCATACAAGTTCGAGCTCCACAGTATCACATGCAGGTCGTTTTGATGGCTCCATTGGGCAACGATCCTTCAGGCTACAAGACTGACCAGGTGATCTATCTTAAATGCAATTATAGCGTGCCTTGAGATTTCTTTGGGGATTTAAAGCAAAACGACATGAACAACCTCTTTGTGCTTTCTTCTTCAAGGGGCAACATGGTCCCTTCGCGCCCGACCAATTTGCCCACCCCTGGCCGCTGTGCCTCGATCTTGGGAGCGCCACACGTCGGGCAAACGCTCCAAGTCCACAGACAAACCGCCTGGGCCGTGGCTCCACCAGGGTCGATGTGAATGAGAAATGGAATGACCCTCAGAAAAACCATCCATCCGATTTGGTTTCCTATGGGAATGCCTAGGTTAATACCTAACACCATTCCTACGGAATCCCCTTCTGGTTCATTCCCAGCACCCGGTCTCGGTCATTCTCTACTGAGCACAAGCAAGTTGAGCGTTTCAAGGGTTTTGGTTGGCTTCTAAAGGGCTTGCCTTTGTCTATAGTGGGCCTTGGATGTTTAAAGGTAGAGGGATTGGATGGGAGGGTCCTTAGAAGATACGTATATGCCGCCAAGTGCAAGCAGCACGAATGCATCCGAGGCTCAGCCAGTGAACTTAGCTCATAGCTCACAAGCACATGAGCCCACCATGTTGTTGAGGGAAAATGAATTATCTTCTACATGAAACCCAGTGCTTCCAGTTTCCAGTATAGTAGATAATAGTAGATAACCAGCGATTCTTGCCTCTAGGTTGTCCATGATGGCTTCCCCTGGTTCTCTTGTTACTTCAAGTTGGCACAGCCCCGGGCAGGCCTCCGCTTTCTGATAAAGGCCGCGTCATTGGCGGATGTGTCAAATATCTTGAACTTGAGAAAACATAATTAAACATCTTTGTTCGAAATGTTTCATAATTGAAATTTGGTAAACCATACCAAGTGCGCAAACCCGCGCTTTGACCACACTCAAAGCACCATACCCTTTGTAGCAATTTTGGTTCCTTTCTCCGATGGCTCCACAAGTCGCGCCGCCTCGCCTAGGACGAAGAACTCACCGGTGCTAGTGATGGTGGCCTCCGGATCATGACTCTCGCTAGTTTTTGTCAGTCAAAGATGGGCCACTGGATTTCTGCGGAGGTTGGCTGATCCCTTCTTGAAACTTACACTTTTAGCGGCAAATGTCTGAAATACCCAGCGGATAAGAAACCATATGGCTGGGAACCGCCAAGAGAGGGGCCACTGGTTTACCGTGGATTGTCCCGTTAAAAGTTGTACTTTCCGTCAGCAACCTCGTACCCGTAGTGAATGGAATCACTGTGCAAGAATTGATGCCATATAACGCCATCTTTCTGGAAGGCAAGTGGAACATGCTTTTCAGCACCTATTGTGCTATAAGACGTGGGCCACTGGTAATTCTCCTCGTGCCCCAAAATGATGCCCTGCTGAACTTGCCGAAAGTGTGGAAATGTGGGGTGTCCTTCTAACAGGGCTTCGTGTATGCGGTTGATCTGTCTGCTTAAACTGCTTGACCCTGTGAACGTAGAGCTCCCTGGAAAGGTTTGAATGAGTCGTTTTTCAACGAGGTGCTGTCAAGTTCCATAGCTCCCAGGAAGATTGCATATTCTATGAAGATAAGAACGGATGAAGGTAATGGGACATCAAGCCGATCCGAGAAAGTGCAAGACCTTACCCTCAATGACTCAACTCTTCCCAGCTTTGTGGTTTCGTTTGCCCGCCTCACACAAGGTAAGCCACACCACATTGACACGTCGCACGAACAAGAGTCAGGAAGATAAGGCTTAGGGTACTCGGATGGGCCACACTGTTTTGGATCCAACCCGAGAAATTGAGGGGCCCTGAAAAATTGAGGCCTTCGGCCAACTGGCAAATCAGGTCGGCTCAACCTTGACACTGCTGACATTGCACGACCAAGAACAAGTCGGCCAATTCGGCCGTGGGTTTGGTTGGGAAAAGAGCCATGGATGAGTGTAAACATTCCTAAACATTCCAGAAACTTATCTTCACCTTTCGACCTAAACAACAATACATACTATGGTTTGACCCTTGTGCAAATCAAGAAAACCTCAAACATGTACACTAATTTGAATCCAGATCCATAGTTAAAATATTGAAAAGCGAGACTTTGACACTTACTGTCATTTGGATGTACTTTCCTTTGTTGGCGCAAGGGACCCTAGGGAAATCTCCATTGAAGCGAGGGAGTTTTTCAGTGCATCCACACAGCGCGAAACGCCAGTTGGCCATGTCGCCCAGAAGTCGGATCAACGGGCCGCGACGCACACCTGTGCCAAGAGCCCGAAGATAGAACTCTCGGGGACCAACGTCGCGCGGATATCCCCAACTCAAGCCGAGGGCGATTGCACGGGCCACACAGTCGAAGTGGTCTTCAAAGATGTCGGAAGCACGCTCATCTTCTGGGTCCACTGTCATTGGGTAGTAGAACGACTCGCACATTCTTCCACCGCGACAATGTTGCTGCTCATTCAACTGCCTTCTAGCTCTATTCATCTGGGAGTTTTTCCTGGTGCCCTTTTCATTCCTAAGAGCGATTTGGGTATGTGTCCAAATAGGCAAACCCCAATAATAAGGTCTTCCTTTTGGTTGTAGATTCCCAACACGCACACACACAAACACACACCTGGCTGGTGCATAGAAACCTCTGGCTTGCCTCTCGTTCCTTTTGGGAAGCGGCCCTACTCCTTTGCGATCCATGCCCAAAAACCTGCCAGACAACCAAACACACCCACACACAGCCACACAGACGCACAGACGCACAGACACACAAACATGCGTGCATGAGTCTCTCTTTAGGGAAGCTTCCCCCCCACAGAAAAAAAGATGATAATAATAATAATAATAATAATAATAATAATAATAATAATAATAAATGATAATAATAATAATTAATAATAATAATAATGAAAATCATAATTAATAATAATAATAATAGTAATATTAATAATAATAGTAATAATAATAATAATACTAATAATAATAATAATATCAATAACAACAACACTAATAGTAACAATAATAACAATAATAACAAAAACACAAAAACAAAATAATAATAATAATGATCATAATAATAATAGTAATCGCAATAGTGACAATAATAACAATAATAACAAACACAAAAATAACAACATAATAAAAAAATAATAATAACTATTATTACTATTATTACCAACAACAATAACAATAATAACAATGACAATAATCAAAATACTAATAATAATAACAACAACAATAATAATAAACATGGCGCTGTTTTCTTGTGGTTTACCTTTTGAACCACCCCAAAACGGGGTCCCTCAAATTCCCCATGCCCAACACACAGACCGACTCATCCCCGCGAGACTGCGCAGGGCCATGGGAAGCCGCACGGCATGTTGATAGCGACCCGGCCACGGCGCGTGGGCGGTGACCTTCGATCCGCTTGCGACGTGAGCGACTGATGGAGCCGTGGACTGGGCTGGGGTTTTGGGTCTGGGGGTTTAGGATTGCTGAGTTGGCTTGGGGTTGGTCTGGATGTTCCATATCATAGGGAACCCTGTTGCCGTTCGCAGCATGGGATGGTGTCCTAATAACCACGATGGCCAAAGCGTGGCGTCCGGGAAGAGTGCCATCTTTTTGGCTGGACATCCGAGTCAAAATCAGTCTGGTATCAAAGGGGGTCTAGCGCCAAAACCATACATGGGGTCAAAAAAGCGGACATCCGCCACTGGCTCGATGTCACTACCTTTGAATGCAGCTTGGGGCTCTCGCAGGTAAAAATGAGCAGTATAAAAGAGGCCTGAAAAAGGAAGGTGCCCTTTGATTGGCGGCCTTCAAATCCACAAAACCAAGCCTGAAAAGGCCAAAGACCAACTCCACCTATTTACGGGTACATGATTTGGGATTTCTTGTTTCCCCGTGCGGAAGGTCGGAAGGTTTTTGGGGGGCAATATTTTGGAAGGTTTTTTGCCTTGCCCACCTGAATAATGTTGACATCGGATTGCAATACTACTTTGAATTTGGCCATACTACTTTTGAGTTGGGAATGAGGATCCCAGAACTCCAGATGAATTCCAAAAGGAGCTTCGGTCCTTGTTTCCATTTGATTTAGTATTGCTGGAACTTCCATTTGAATTTGATTTGACTCTCCAGTTGATGGGGGAGGCTGATGGACCATACTAATCTGGGGGGTATTAATTGGGGGTGCACGGTGCAAGGGGCTAATGTGGAGTGGCCTTTGAAACCTTCTAAACTTGCTCGTTTTTTGGTGTGTAAAGGAGTTAATAAGAAATCAACCGTTTCAGAACCCTTGCTTTGTGGCTTGGGCGGGCACAAAAGCATCCACCAAGCTTTTCGATGAGAGTAGGAGGTGCAAATGAGAGCCCCAAGCAAAGCAGCAGCATGAAGAAAAGGCATCAGAAGAAAGCATTAGCCTATTTGAGCCAAAGCAGCATCAGCTAGCAGCCAAAAGCAGAATACATTGAACAAGTTGTTCAGCCCAGCCAGTGATGACAAGACTGCATTGGCAGATGTGCCAGAGATGAGCTCAAGAAGCAATGGAGAAAATGAGATAGCAGCAGCCACTTGGGGGAGGGACGGGTTTAATGGTTTTTCGTTCAATGACTTTTGTATTTAGGGAAACTTTCTGAGTTATAAATTGCTACCTGTACGTATTGGAGGGGGGGCACCTGGACCGGTGTAATTGGCGGGGAATACTAACTACTACGTTAACATCACTCCTCCCCACCCTGCTAAGAAAACCCAAACTCCTCCATTTACCCGAGGTCCGAGAGAACATTCCGAACTGAACCCAAAATGGCTTAGGCTCTTTGTGGCTCCGATTGTCACGTGTCCCGATACATGACAAGCGGGTGTTTCCCGCCAAATGTTGGGAGGTAAATGAAGCCCTAGACTCAGACAGTGTGTCATTGGATTTGGGCAAGGTTCTGACTGTACATCCATCACGTAGAGAACATAGTTGGCTTATTCTTGGCGGTTTTGAACCATGGTTTCCATTGCTTTTGATTTTGCCCAAAGTGTCCTTGTGACTTTTGGGGAAAAGGATCGGTCCTCACAAACCTAGCAACATGCGTTCCTTTTGCAGCACTCAAAGACCAATTCATTTCGACTCCCCCGCAGGCGCATCGGAAGAGACATTTCTTCCTTAGAACAGCACCAAGAAAGGATGGGCTGGTTCTTCAGTTTCACCCTGTGGACGCATTTCCCCCCCGTGTTGGTCCCTGCACCCAGACAAGCGTGTGTAGATTGAAGATTAGCAGGGCACAGTCCCAACGATAAACAGGCACGCCCGCCCGGTTGCCCTCTAACACAATGACGGCAGACTAAATTATAGGCTAGATAATTATGGACCAAAGAAGAAATAACGCTTTATGAGCATAAACAAATATGGCTATAATAAATTGTTCGGGGTACAACGACTTCCCTAAACCCCATCAGCAGTCCTTTGTTGTTTCAGGTGAGTTCAAACATCTCCTTTTGGGCGCCAATTCTTAGCTGAAATCTGTTCGGTGGGCCCCCCCCCCCCACCAAAAAAAGAAGAGCTAGAAACCGCGCGCCAAAGCAATCCAAAGCAACGCAGTTTAGCTCACATAGCGAATAAACAAATTCGGCTGCGAGCGCTCGCTACGGTGGTTCGGGCCAAAGGCGAGGCGCCAAGTGCCAGGTCTGACCCAAATCAGCCGAGGACCATACCTCGATTGGCAAGCGATGCTCAATGAGGGAGGGAGGAGGGGGGGAGGGAGCTTTGGGCCCAGATAAGCCCTTAATAAGCCCTCAATACGGCCATTTAGGGATTTGGGCTCCCTCCCCCCCTCCTCCCTCCCCCAGCCCCCATGTGCAACCCAAACCAGTCAACCAAACCTTTTGAAGCACAACCGGTCAACCAAGCCAGCCATTTACCAAAACGCAAAGTGAACCAAACCTCTTTCAACCAAGCCATTCACCAACACCCGAAGTAGAACCCTGAAACTTCAAACCCACGATCCGACCTTGAAGTGGTCAACGCAGGCGCCATCCGAGAAGCCAACATAGCATGCCCGTTGACCGGTCGAAATTCATCGTGATCCAACTGAAAGCAATGGCCTACCCCGAGTCCTACCGTTTGTTTTAGGGTGGATGAAGAACAACTTCTTGTTCCGGAATAAATGACTCTTTTTAGTGAGGGTTGACATTCTACGAGAAAACACAGGGAACATGCTGGGTTCCCGGAAAGGAGCTCGCGCAAAGCCAAGGCCAAGACATCGTTGAAGCACTGAACGCGCCCAGTCTCCTGCAAAGGTGCTCTGAGCAATTCCGCTGGACAAATCGCGTAAAGCCCAAAGCCGGAATGGCAGTGAGGACTCACCGTTCTCCCACCTGGCCTCCAAAATGCAACTGGAAGCTATGCAAATATTTGTCCAGATTCCCGGATCACTGTTCGCTGTCCCTTCAACGAAAATGGAAGGCAATTCTCAGACTCCCCGTCTGGCAGGTACCCCCAATTGCAACACGATATGGCTGGTTTCACCTCTTTGGGCAAACATATTAGCAACAAACAACTCGAGTTCCATCCAACACTTTGCCAGGACTTCAATAGGAGCATACATTCGAGCAGTTGGATGGTCTGACTCACTTTCGGTGGGCTAAATTTTGGAACACCCACCCACACCAGCTCAAAAGCAACTACGTAAACACCGACGGCTGGGAGCAGCCGTAAAAATAAATTTATAGGGTTCCCTTGATCCATTGCTTGTGACATATTTAGGGCATCCACCGAAGCTGCACGTTTGCGAGTTCACTGTGAGAGTCGAATGCTCCCAGGTCCATGCAGGTGTTTCGGTCAATTGGATTCTTAATCCTGGCCACTTCATGCCAATCGAAAACAGACTCTGCTCTTGGGCGGCCACGCCCATGTTCGGTCTGGAAAGATCGGCTTCCTCAACCTATGGGCTGCAGTATCGAACTCAGCAGATCCCAGGTACCAGGACTGCAGGGTAACCAACTACTGTCCTTTGGGTTTTTTTTGAAATTGTTCCCTTGATTACCTCTATAGGGAATTGGGATTCCTGGGCAATGTTCAAAGGGTATTGGCATTTGTTGGGGCTCCAGGAAGGCAACCTATCCTTTGTTAATTGTGGTGAAAAGCAACACCATCCAGAAGGCAACATTTAGGCTCTTCCAAACGGCTGGCTTGGATCATCTTACAGGGAAGGCCCTCTGCGCAGCAAGGTGTTCCGGGGTGACCTACCCATCCCCACCACAAAGGGGATTGTGGTGGCGTGTTTCTCCCCGAGTCCCATTTGTCTAAGCTGTCTTCCCCGAAAAAGTGAAAGTGGAACTGAACTTCTGATGTCACCCCCCTCCCTTCCATTTTTGCAACGGGTGATACTCAAATCAGTGGATCTCACTGATCTCACTCACTTGCCAGACTTGCCAGTGCAGGTAACGGCATTTGGTTTTTGAAGGGTGATTCTCTTGGTTACGTATACAGGCCAGGAAAGGGACTCGCTGAAGAAACCAACGCGTCAATTGTGTCCACTCCCCGCCTTCTCAGCGAAGAACCCGCCCAGCAGGTAGATCACGTCGTCTGCGTCCACCAGCGTCGTGTGCCCGTAACGGGCTGTCCTGAGAGGTCGTTAGCTCACAGACTGGTTGGAAGCGAGGTCATATTGTCGCGTGATGGGCATGTGTTGAGCACCTTGTCATTAGCTGTGTTTGTTTGCAGCCTTTCTGAGGTGATGTCACAAATAATTAAAACAGGACACCTGGCTGGAAGTGATTCTTAGACCCCCTCCATGGTTGCGGAAACCGATCTGTTCACAAGGATTTTTTGGGTTAATAATCACATACACTGACAACCTGACCCAACAGTTTCCACAGCCGAAAAAACCTACAAACGAACTGCAAAGGATGTCCACATTGTGCTTCAGAAGACGCTGGAATGATGCAGACAAGTCCAGAAAGTCTAGATCAGGCCTAGAGCACGGCCCCTTGTGGCCACACAATATCACATCAGGCCAGAGGTGATAGTTGTTTGTCCCAACAGACCCCACATTAAAGCGCCCCACCTTCGTTCCACTTGTCCCAACTCGCTCCGACTCGCTCGATTCGAGGTTTCTCGGTCCCCGGGGCTCCGGCCAAGGAGCGTTGTTGGTGACTCGCACCCACTGGGCGCGCAGGTGGGTCATGGACATCGGCTGCCTAAGATCGGAGCCCTTTGAGCAGCCCGTGTTGAGGTTGCTTTTCGGGGAAACCAAAAGCATTTGAGTCTTGAGGGGTCCACGCTTTCGAAGCAAACTAATGTTCAGGCTACAGGGGATCACTTGGCTTAGGTGCGCGAGTGCTGAGTGCCGAGCCAGGAGATCTACAGAATAGGGTTGGGACGCAGCATCCAATTTGGACGAGTGCTAAAAGAAGACCAACCAAACATACCCAACCCAGGAAATCAGGTTGCAGAGAAAGTGGATCCAAATTGTCTTCTAGATTCTAGACAGCGCTTGCGAATTCCTGTGAGTCACAAGCTACACCCAAATGTAAAACGAAACTGATCAAATGTAAGGATCTGAAGATGTGAAAAGCTGCCTGGAATTTCCAGAATTGACCCGGGTTCCTCAAAGAGTGAACCCACTCCTGCAAAGCTCTCACATTTCCTCTGTCCTTGGATTCAACTCATGTTCTCACGAGTTTTGCCAAGAGCGCTTTCAAACTTGTCCTGTCCATGGTCGATGCCCTGAAGGGCTGTGCACATGGAATTGCCCCTGCCTCTCAGTTGGCAGCTTTCCCGGGCGTGCCTTCAGCCCAACTAGGCAACCCACAAAAAAACATAGACACACACACACACATAAGTCGTTCGTAGGGTTGGCCCACATCAATCAATGATCCAGGCCATTCCCCACATAAACCCCTGGAGTGCGCTCTGCCTTAAAAAAGAAGCTCGGAGAAGGGGACCGAGGGTGCCCCTGAACAAGTGGAGGCTTGTATACCCGGCTTCCCTGAAACACCCCGAGCTTGACACACAAGGAGCCAATGCCGGCCAATGGTTCCAAGGTGTGCTGTTCAGCAGCGACCGCAGGGTAGAAATTCGGGCCTTTCAAAGGACAAGCCAAGGAAGCAACCAACTTTAGCTACCCTTGAGATTTGGTCATTGTAAAGAGGCTGGAAACCCTATTCAACATATCCCAACAAATGCTCGACATAAACTGCCGGATGCCGCTTGTTTTTTTGCTTTGCATAACCAGTTTCACACAGCCTCCCATCCACCTCCCGATAGTCCAAAGAGTTTGTACCACACCCTGGGCCGAATGAAGGCAAGTCCCGTTGCTTTGCAAGGGGCGATGCGTGGTGAATCTTCCACACATCCGAGAGGTAGCTGTGACGATCATGGCCGCCCAGCATCACGATCCAGCCTTTGGCCAGTACATCCCATACTACGGATGGCTTCGAAATCCTCTTATAGGCACCACCTAAGAAACCCTGGTTTCTGATGATCCCCTTTGAAGGTAAATAACAACAATTTATCGCTGCATTCATGATTCCAAGTGGTGCGAAATGGATTGTGTCCATCCACAATAGAACAGGACCTCCGTGGGTAAGCGCAAGATAGTGATCATTTGCGCAATGATTAAAACACCGAATTGCTTGGGATTAGGGCTGGTCAGGGGTTTCTTCAGGGAATCTGGTTCCTAGGCAACAATACTGCGGCCTACACAACAGGAGATTTGACCCATGGCTCAAATGAGCCTAGGCTGAAGTGCAAGAAGGCAATGTTCCTTTCATACTGTGGATGGACGCAATCCTGCACCACTTGGAAACCATGGTTGAAACAACCGTTTTTTTTGGGTTACTAGGATTTACAAGCGAATCATCATTCAAGGGTTTCTTAGGTGGTGCAGGATCTCGTCCATCCAGAGTAGGATTCAAATTGAAACACGTAGTGTAGTGTAATGTTAAACAAAAACACACTGGTTTCGATATCCACCGCTAAGCCCGCCCTACACCACCGCCAAATCAATTTGCTGACATTAAGCCAAGCAACATTTGCACATGAGCTGTGTTGCCACTTGTCTCCCAGAAAGCTTCACTGAGATTCGCTGTTGTGGCAAACGACCTTTCCCGTGCTAAGCAAGTAACATGCCAGACACACCTGAAGCAACCACAAATTCTAACACCAAAACCCGTGGGGGCCTACCGTCTTGTCGTAAGAGCAAGCGTGTTTCAACCCCCTCTCGATCTGCGCATGCCAAACTGCGCCGTAGCCAAGGCACAAAAGAACAATCATGGTTGTTTACCGGCGATGGGGGGGGGGGCGGTTCTGTCATTTCTTGAA